TTACCCTAGGGTAATAAGGATTCCCACAGAGAACGCAATGACGCTTGCTACCAAGTAATGCTGGTCAATAGGTACCAGAGTCTGGGGCGAGACTCCTGCGGGGCGAGGTGGGGTGGGGCAGGGAGACTGGGAGAAAAGGATGCTGACTTTGGCAGATCCTAACAGAAGGGCTGAGTGTGGAAATGCAGGGGGCCCTTCCTTCTGGTGCTGTCCTGAACATGAGTTCATGTCTCTCTTAGCAGCACCTCCAGCCATGCCTCCCCACCGCCCAAGCTGCTGCAGGGACAACAGGAAGCAGATGACAAAACACTAGTCCCTCAGTCCATGAGGTGGCTTGCTGTGACATCCCTAGATCTCCAGGAAAGGCCAAACAAAGCTTAAGAAGCCCCTGGAGTTGAACATCTGAGCTTCGAAGTCACAGGGAACTTGTCTCTTTGAAAGTGAGGGAAGTTTAATTATTTTGGCCAAGTTCAGGATGTGAACATGTTTTCTTTCTTTTGGTTTTGAAGGAGGGAGGAAGAGCCTTTGCTATTCTGGTGCATGGCAGCAAACAACATGGAGATGCCAAAGGGTCTTCCCTCATACCGCTCAGGAGAGATGAGAGTGACAGAGGTCTTGGGATGTGGCCCGATACAGACAGGGAGTGGTGACTGTTTTTCCTCTTATCTCTCTCTATGGAATAGGGGCAACAGAGACAGTGGGGGAGACTAGGTGACAACATCAGTGTACTCAGGAAGTGGCTTCTGAGTAATGGGAAGAACATTCATGATCAAGTTGTGATGGCCCCCAAAGGGCAGAAGTGAAATGTATTGTGATTTCTTACGAGACTATCAAAATTGTAACTCCCGCTTCTGAGAGGAAATGGTAACAAGTTGGAAGGAAATTTGAATGTGCTGAGTGAGGTATAGAAAGTATTCAAACCTTACAAGGTGCTCCTGACTCTCCACCCCGACCAGGTACCTGGTAGCTGTAGATCTGCCTCAAAGAGTACCAGGTTCTCACTGACCAATGAAGAGCCGAGAGCAGAAGGTCCTAGCACTCTGTTTTTGTTTGACCCCTTCAGTTCTCTACAGATGGCATGGTAACCAGGAAGAGAGTTAGAGATTACAGAAAGAGAGCCAATTCTCCACGAGGGGGAACACTTGTGGAAGGATTGCCACATGAGTGTCATGCCACCAGCTCAAATGGGAAAGAAACGCATACTTTGAGTTCACTCATGGAGACTGAAGACATCATCGGATCCCATTCTGATTAAGATGGGAGCACACTGGCAGCAAGATTCTGATGGGGATCTTTAAGTGACAAGGCTTCCCAGGGAATCCCATGAGAGCAATGGGAAGAAGACAGTGTAAACTGACCAGAGAGCGTGGCGGAGTTCCAGGTGGGCAGTATGGGACCCCCTGACTCAAGGGCAGGAAGCACAGGACATACCACATGTTCACAGATGGATGATATGATTAGTGAGGAGAGCCGTAGGACAGCCAGACAGAAATGCCAGCTATCATCGTACAGCCATCTCCAAATCCTAAGACTTTACCATATACGTTGCATATTCAGAATTAAAGCAGAGGATGATCCTAGAGCAGTGACTCTCAACCTTCCTAATGCTGTCACACGTTAATAGAGTTCATTATGTTGTGGTGACTCCAACCATAAAATTATTTCGTTGCTATTTCATAAATGTAATTTTGCTACTGTTACGAATCACAATGTAAAAATATGGTATATAGGATATCTCATATGTGACCCCTGAGAAAGACCCCTGGGGTTGAGGCCTCCAGTTGAGGATCATTGTACTAGAGCTACACAGGCTAATGTTGTGGGTTATAGCAAAGGCAAACACCTGCTTCTAGAAGTATTCTTGAACAGATGCCCTCACAGCAGATAGTGAGGCACTGCAATGCCATTAACAGAGAACATCTAGTGTCTGTGTCTATATCCTGGGGCCTCTGGTCAGGGAAGCTCTTTGGAGTATACCTACTAGCAACTCGTCTAGGCACTTGGTGGGAGAACAGCAGGTACCTCTCTCTGATTGAGTCAACCATTGTCCTGTTTGCCCACTCAGATGAAGCTTGGATACCGTGTGCCTGGCACACTCTAAGTGTTCTGGAGAGGCCAGCTTTACCCAGTGTCCTTCAGGTATTGCTGATCTGGGGACCTAGCAGATAGCTGAGGACAGTGAATATACTTCAAATCAGTGTCAGCTTTAGTGTGGGAAAATTAGCAAACTCTCGAAACAGAAAAGTCAAATGGATCTTCTCTAAAACAGCAAATTAAAATTCCTAGAATTGCTCACAGATTATCTTATCTGAGGTTTTGATAATGACAACTCTTTCTAGCCCCACTCTTTAAGATTTGTTTACATACGTGCATGTGTCACATGGATGCTTTCAAGTACTTACATGCACATAGAAGCTAGGCGATGACATCAGACCCCCTGAAGCCATTGTGAGCTGCCTGCAGCAGGTACTGGGAACTGAACTCCAGTCCTCTGTAAGAGCAGTAAGTCCTCTCAGCCTTTGAACCATCTCTCCAGCCCCACTATTTCAGCAAACTCATTAGAAAGAGTTACTCAGAACCTGTAGCACATTGTCCTAAAACACACACACACACACACACACACACACACACACACACACACACACACAAACAAAAAAAAAACACAACACCAAACAAACCAAAGCTACAAATGGGAATTAAGCTTCAGACTCTCAGTCAGTGTTTTATAGTTCTGAAGAGACACCATGACCACAGCAACTCTTATAAAGGAAAGCATTTAACTGGGGCTAACTTACACTTTCAGAAGTTCAGTCTGTTATTATCATGGCAGGGGCATGACTGCAGACAGACAGACAGACAGACACAGTGATGGAGAAAGTAACTAAGAGTTCTAAATCCAGATCCACAGGCAGCAGGAATGTGGAGCCACTTGGTCTGGCTCGGACTTTTGAAGCATCAAAGCCCACCCCTAGTGACACATTTCCTCCAACAAGGCCACACCTCCTAATCCTTCTCAAGTAGTGCCACTACTTGATGACTAAGCATTTGCATTTATGACCTTATAGTGGGCTATTCTTATTCAAACCAGCACAGACTCATTCACTGAATCTTGCCTGAAGCACCAAGTAGCATTGTTTATCCCAACCAGGATCTAGTACAAAATGGGCACTTCTAAGTGCACAGGCCTTTTCTCTTCCCCATTTAGTCACAATATTCTTGAAATCACATTTATTGACTTCAACTATGTGACAGGTTCTTTGACTGAGTGTCCCAATTTCTCTCAAATCTCTCAATACTCTTCCATTTCCATAGTTGGGACATTCATTTTTTTTCCTAGCATAAAAGAATCAGAATTCCAGTGTGTGATGCTGAGGAGAAAAGAGGACGTTACCCAGTTCCTTTGGGTGTGATAACCTTGAAACCTTACCCACCCAGGGAAGAGAGACTTGAGGCACATTCTTTCCATGAGACCCAGCCTCAGAGGCCCGGAAAGGCAGCACCCAAAAAGAGAGAAGCAAAACTAGCTGAAGTAAGAAGTGGAAAAGATGGACTGGTACCCACCGTGAGAGGTGGAGTTTGAGCTCCGATCTTTCTTAGTGTAACACTATAGCTGTTTGCTATCTATTCACTGACTGGTGTTTCTGCTGTAAAATAAATCCAAGCTATTGAATACCAACTTGGAAATTATTCTGAGGGAAATATAGTACTTTTATTTGGGGAATTATAAGCAATTTTTTAGGCCTTCAAAAATTTTATTTTTATCCCCATAGATGCATGAAAATGCCCACAGGATACTCAGCTCTAATCATCCACAGGTCTGTGGTCCCTGGAACTGTTTTATGACAGCATCAGTCAGGTGTCAATCACCCTTACCTTACATCTCTTCCTTCCCATTGTCCCTTCACTAAAACCAAACCTTAGAGCTTGGCAAGCAAGACAGAGAGCCAAAGAAGAAACAAGATACCAGCCCTCACCATCGTGGGACAATGGCAAGGGCTTGGGCAGGGTTACCAAGGAGATCAGTGTTCTGGTGTTGTTTGCACTTAGCACTGTTGTCCTGGTTGGCTTTATTTTTATGTTTTTAAGGTCTTGGGATTTTATCTTACCAATGACCGACAAACCAGGGAAATGGCCCTACTTTTCATCTGGGAGCAGGAGAGGGCTATTTTTTTTTTTTTGGTCTTTTTGTCTTCTCAAGACAGTGTTTCTCTGTATTGCTTTGGAGGTTGTCCTGGAACTCGCTCTGTAGACCCACTAGGCTGGCCTGGAACTCACAGAGATCTGCCTGCCTCTGCCTCCCAAGTGTGTGCCACCAACGCCCGGCAAGAGAGGGCTACTTTTAATCCTCATTGAGCTAATTTAAAATGATACCAGAAGGGGAGGAGGCTATTTTTTTTTTAAATCACTGTACATCTAAGCTTTGTTTGCATTGATCAGCTGAACAGCTGGCAAAATGCTTCTATTGTCTTTCAACTTCACAGATAACTCCTTTACATAGGAGACAGGACCCATTTGAAACAGCCCATTCAATCTCACATTTGCTCCTGGGCAGTGGCCCAGCCCTATCTCTGAGCACCTTTCTTCCTGCCTTGAGTTGTCCCTTGGTGAGGCAAATGTGGTCTACTCCTTGCTGCTGATAAGGTGGCATCATATAAGTAAGCCTGACTTTTGCTTCATACATTTTAAAGCCCAACCCTTTGCTCCACTGGACTTACTGCCCTGCTCCAGGCAGGTGGAGGGAAATCTCAGATGCTGCTGTTCTGTGTGTCAAAGGAGGTTTGTTTATCTTACTTGCAGAGTCAACAGACCTGTGACTTCCTGCCAAGGACTGCATTCTATAACAAGAAAGCCAAGCTGATAAAAGTAATTGCTCTGGAAAATATGCTAACAATGCACCTGTACCTCCTCTTCCCTGTCAAGAGGCCACCTGGTGCTCAGCGGCAGGGAGGTTTGGGGTGCAGGTGATTATATTGCTCAGCAGCAAGGCGTGGAAACTGCAGAGTGAACACAGACACATTGTGTATTCTAGAGAAGTGTCACAGACTGGCCCAGGACCTGAGACCCAACAATGGCAGAGTCACTCAGGAGGGCCTCCAACTACAGTTCCAAGCAAGGCAGCACATGGGTTGCAGATCAGTCGCCTCCTGAGAACACTCAGCATTTTGCTCACAGCAACAGACCACTCTGTTTTCACAGGATTCTGAGCCAGCCAGGGAAACACCGGGAGACACCAAGGTTGGAGCCTCACTCTCATTCCTGCAGAGCCTGGCTTGTCCCTTTGGGGTCTCCCTGGAATCAGGTACTGTTCCTTCTCAGGAGGATATTAATGGAGGGAGGGAAAACTTGCTGCTGCTTATTCATAGCATTCCTTATGTCTGCTGCTTGGTAAGACTTAATTAGGACTTAATGAGGTCACTAAGGTGCTAACCATTTTAGTCAAGTCATACTAGATAGCTTGGTGTGACATTAGGAATGGCAGTCACGATGTTCAGAGGACAGCATGCTCAGCTTTCATTTGTTGTTTAGCAGTTAGTGTTGCCTGGCAGCGGTGGGGCACACACCTTTAATCCCAGCACTCAGGAGGCAGAGGCAGGTGAGTTTCTGAGTTTAGGGCCAATCTGGTATACAGAGAAAGTTCCAGGACAACCAGGGCTGCACAGAGAATCCCTGTCTCAAAACCAAGAAAAGAAGAGGGCAGGATAGGATTTGATTTGAGTTTCAGGCTTCCTTTCTGCTATACCTCATACTCTTTTCCAATCTTCTTCCCCACACAAGGTGTATGTCATGACTCACCACTGGAACACACGTGACATGTCCTCAGATAATTATATGAAGACAGGAAGAGACAGGGACTGACCAGAATCTGTCTGAGTGACATAAACCTTTTCCCTCATCGCACACCACAGAGAGCCACAGAGGAGGGGGAGAGTTGGTCACAGTTAGGACTATTGATTACAGGGTGGAGAAAAAAGATGCTGAAGAGATAAATGCTTCCCATAAGAGACCAAATACCAACAATCCGCAGGAAAGAACTGAACAGCGTGGTGGCATCACTAGCCTGTGGACTGGCCTGAGAACAAGGCTGTGAAACCAAACCAAAGGCTCACTTGCTGAGGTACACGTTTCCACACGGGAACAAGGCAAAATTCCACCAACTCAAAATCACCATGACTTATATATACTTAACACACATTTCATTTTTTTTCAAACAACAAGTTTTAGAAAAAATTTATAAATGCTTTTTTGTCTGTAGGTCCTGTGGTCCTACATTCTTGTTCATTAGAATATCTGGGACCTTTGGAGTCTCTCTTCTGACAGTGCTGACCCAGGTCTGGGATTATAGAGGCTTCTAGACCTATGTAGACCTATCACTTTAAGAAAACTTCAGCATCTTGCCAAAGCTTCACCTACTATGGCTTTCAATCATGGTACTGATTCTTGCCAGAATCACAGCTTGGAGTCAACCCCTTCATAGAATTTGAGCACGAAACTCTCAGGTTTGGCCCCAGCACCTACTCTGATGACCAGCTCTGAGGCCAAAGGTCACCATAAGAGCAAACAGACTCCAAACCACAATGTCAGGGCCCAGGCAGCATAGCTGAAAGAGTCACTAAGAGCCTTCTTATAATCTGTCCATGGTTACAGCATTCAAGCAATTCAGGCAGTGCAAAGTTCTGTGGACACCCATATCTGTGCCAGCATCATTCACAGAGGCTAAAAGGTGGACACAACATATAATAGATTCGTAAAATGTAGTGTATACATGCAACAGAGTAGCATTCAGTCTTAAAAAAGAAAGATTCTGACATATATCATAACACAAATGGACCTTGAAGATATTCTAATCAGAGAAACAAACCAATCACAAAAGGACAAATACCATGTGGTTCCATTCACAAAAGCTATCCACAGTGGCAAACTCATAGAGGACTAAGTAGAAGGTGATGACAGGGGCTGGGAAAGGCAAACAGAGTTGGTGTTTCAGGGGAGCAGTGTTTTTTCCATTTGGGAAGGTGCAAGGTTCCAGAAGTGGATGATGGTGATGATCGCTCAACAAGGTGAGTGTGCTTCATGCTAGTGAATTCTACACTTGAAATGGTTAAGATAAAGACTCACAATACAAGCAGGGACAACATGTTTAAAGATCTAGAAGTTCTTTGATGGTTATGTCATTCATTCCCAGCTGTGGTGTCTAGGAAGCAGCTGCTATCAGTAGGTGAAAGACAAACCTGAATTTAGTCTTTGTTATAATTTAGAATTTGAATGCTCACAAATGTCCCTTTGTTGGTGTCTTATCTCCCACCTACAGGTGCTAAGAGGAGATAGCAGAGCCTGTAGGAGGTGGTCTCCAGCCTACAGGTGCTAAGGGGAGATAGTGGAACCTGTAGGAGGTGGACCCCAGCGAAAAGAAGTTAAATTGGGGGATGCTGTACTTGATGGATATTGGACACCCAACTACCCTCTTTCTCTGTGCTTTCCTGGTTCCCATGGAATGGTGGAAAGACTCCCTTCACCACATGATCTGCCAGAAAGTGCTGCCTCACCAGAGGTAACAATGCCAACTGACCACAGGCTGAAACCTCAAATCACCAGCCAAATAACCTTTCCTCTTTTTAATTTTTCTCAAGCATTTGTCACCATATTGGAAAGCAGATCAGAAACTGTGCTGGTGACTTTGTTATCTTGGACCATTTCAGTTAGATAATTTTAGTTCTAGGAAATGCATTGTGTTTGGTGATATGCTCGAGTGTGGTGAATATTTAGCTTGTGAAGGAAATGGTTATAAACTATAAAAGCACTGTTTTTCTTTTATCTTTGGCAAAATGTTTTCCACGGTGGTTTGTACCCTGTTTTACTGATCATGTGCAAATGATCAATAGCAATATTGTTCTCTTACATGTGCCCCTTGTCTTTGGTGGGGGCAGCACTGAAATTGTGTGGTCTAGATGGGGAGCAGGCCAGAAGGTAGCCTGTGGAACCCCCATTTTTGCCAACACTCCCTGACTACTGCTGTTTTCCAGCACTCCCCCATTCCCACTGCCCATTTATTTAAAAGCTCCACCACCTTCTATCCAGGGACTCATATGCAGTCTTTCTTGGGGATGTTCATGATTTGAAAAGAGGATGTAGTTCTGTTTTTCAGCAATGTGAACACACACTACTGAAGTATCTACGTAAAACTGGTTGTGAGGGTAAGGTTTTCTATATGTTTTCACAGCGACAAAACTAGACTTTAAAAGGAGGAGCCAAAAGAAGAAAGTGACCCAATAACACCTTGAAAAGAGGATGTGGAAGTCTAGGCATGAAACTGTGGGCCAGTGGGAGTGATTGTTTCGATGGTGAGTGAAAGGAATGCCTTTAACAGGTCTCCCACACACAGGAGTGCACCTACCTGAGCAAAAGTGGCAGGACCCGGGCTAGGAGACAGGGTGGCCCCTGACAATGACACCAACTGCTTCTCAATGGGAAAAAGTGCCCACTCCCCCATCCCTGTTTAAAAGTACAGACTGCACTGAACCCCATATTAAAACACTTTCCCCTTTACATCCGTCCCTACAGATGTGCCTACAACAAAGTGTAGATAACAATAATTAGCAAGACAGTAGGCAATTATAACAGTGTAATTTCTCCTTCCTTATGATATCATGGAAAGAAGATTTGCCTTTACCTTGGGTTTTTCATCCCTCTAAATCAAGAATTCCCTTATCTTACAGGAAACACTTCTTAGAGTCTCTTTGGCATGTTTCAACTTGTAGCATCATTACTTTTACCCTTGGGGCCATTGTGAAGGGTAGTCTGAACATTAGCACTGTGGTGCAATGATAACCTCATTATATACAGTGTGGACCCACTGGACACAAGATGAGTCACATCCTGGGTGGAGCAGCGTACTGGCAACACGGTGGTCCACTGTTTGGAACATGAGTTGTTAATCCTGGGGCTTTTCCATTTGCTGCTTCAGACTGTGACTGACCGAGAGTTAGACTACAGAAAATGAGGCTTCAAAGCAGAAGGTCTAGTCTTCTCAATGAGAGACAATGGAAACTCTATTGGGTTGGGCACTTGCTACACAGCATCACAGTAACTAAGCCAAGATTACATGGGTGATTAAGTGTACCCTAAGTGGATTTCTCAGTGCCAGGAGCCTATCTAGGCCCTCTTCAGCCTCACAGGGGCTGCCCGGAGCTTTGGGTCAGTTCTTCCTTTGACACCAAAAAAGAGTAAGGACCCACAGCAGAGAGTTGGGAGAGTGGAAGTTCTTCATCTTTGCCTAGCACTTTCATGGGAAAGCTGGGCCAGCTTCTGTAGAAATGGTGCCAGATACGTCCTTTCCAAGCAAATTCTAAATGATCTCTTTTCTTGCTTCATTTATCTTCTCTTTTTCACCATCACCCTCTCCATGAGTTCCGTCATCACCGTCAGCCCTGAGAAAAGGAAAATCAAGCCTTGAGAGCACAGAATATGGAGGAGGTGACCCTTGCCCTGTGCCTGCATCCTCAGGCTGACCCCAAGTCAGAGCAAGGGGTGTGGTTGGGTGTTGGCCATGCAGAAGACAAAAGTCATGATTTTCAGTTTAACCTCATGGTGAAGCAATCATCAGGAATCCAGAACCCCTTGCTGCAGAGGTCTAAAGAATAGCAGCAACATTTGACACATGGGTGGCAGTGAATCAAGGCAGACAGCAGTTTCCTTACAGGATCTTTTCTCTTCCTTTATTCATTGCCCACACCCTTTGGCATGGCTCCTCTGGGGATTTTTTCCCTTCCTGGAGTTAGGGTTATGTACAAATGCAAGTAGCCAGTGATAAGCCAACAGCTTGACTTCAGGATATACTGTCTCTCCTTTTATGGATGATGGAAGAACACAAGTTTAAGGACCTAAGACCCAGACTGGCTCAAAAAAATTACTGGGGAGTTGGACCCATGCTACTTAACACTTGGCTGAATAAATGCAATGATGCCCACTTTGCCTGGTTAGAATACCTATAGAAAACTTGCAAAAATGTTGAGTTTTCTGGGAAGGGATGGGAATTGTTAATCGTTGTGACAAAGAGTTGAACAGCAATATCAAATCATACACACACACACACACACACACAGAGGGGGGGAGGGAGGGAGGGAGGGAGGTTTGTGTTATTTATGTTCTCTAAGACCATTTGATTAAATGTGATTAGGGAGCTGCACTCAGGAGGTAGAAGCAGGCGGATCTCTGTGAGTTCGAGGCCAGCCTGGTCTACAGAGAGAGTTCCAGGACAGCCTCCAAAGCCCCAGAGAAACCCTGTCTCAACCCCCCCCCCCAAAATGTGATTAGGGAGATCTTAGGTTTCACAATCACGGGTGAAAAGTCCTGAAGTAAATTACGTTGGACCAGAAACACTTTGAACTAGAAAGTCGGGGCCCTTAATGCCTGTTGCTGTCCAGTCTTATTGATTGTTCTCTGTATGCATTACTTAGCTGTCATGGCCGCAAACCCACATCACTTATTTCAGAATGGCACCAAATGTTTGCCCCTGTCCCCATGGCCTGATGTCTATATGTTTACTCACAGAGGGAGACCAAATGTTCCCTCTGAATTTAGGTGGTATTCTGTGGTCCAAGACTAATGCTCAACTCTGACTTATCATTAACTACTGCTAAGCACACTCCACACTCAGCTCAAAGAAACAGCACAGGAATGAAAACAAACTGGAGAGCGGGACCTACCTACTTAACCATGAGGCTCTGGCTCTTGGCTCTTATTCAAGAGCTATTGTTTGGACTAGAACAGGCTCTGGCACAAGCCTAAGACTCTACTGTCCCTTTTCCTCACTCTGTAGTGAGGAGGCCCAGGGTAGGGCTACACATCCGCTTCACAAGCTGTGACAAGTGAGATTTGTATGCAGTGGATTCCATATAGGACTTTCTGGTGAGCTCATTAATATGCCCACTGTATATCTATGGTTGCAATAAAACCAGGTAGCATGCGTGTATACATGCTCCCTGCTATCTGTGGTGAGGAAACAGAGCTTGTGTTAGGTCATTACCCCAGAGCCACAGACCTAGAGTAAGTAGTACTGCCCACGACACAAGGGATTCTGTTGTTTCTGGAATGCTCTTTATGTCATGAAAATTGTATTAGTCCTTAAAGTTGACTCTAAAATTCTGGGGAGGTGTGATAGGTGCTTAGGTGAAGAGCATCAGGCAGAACCTGGGTAGTGCCACCTACCGTCTCTGTGTCATCAAAATTTTAGGGCATTCTCTGTCTCCATGGTCTTTGAACTGTGTTGGATTCAGTGGTTCTACTAAAGTTTGCCCCCTAGCAAGCCTCAACAGCACACAGCCATGTCCCAAACCTGACTCAAAACTTCATGTTACAGATTGTTTAAATACAAATTGGATTTTTCTCTGTGGCTTCGGGAAGAATTTTGATAAATTTGGAGTTGGTGTGTTTGTTAGTATTTAGGCATCTCTACTGGCCTGCCCTTGGGGTTCTGATAGGATATGCCCTTAGCTACAGTCACTAAGAGCACCACCTATGCACATTCACTGTGTTCCCTTTTAAAAGGGCCCTGCTCACCTCCTGTCTTCTCCCTGTATTTCTCTCTCTCTCTCTCTCTCTCTCTCTCTCTCTCTCTCTCTCTCTCTCTCTCTCTCTCTCTCTCTCTCTCTCTGTCTCTCTCTCTCTGTTTCTCTGCCTGTCTCTGTTTCTCCTTCTTTCTCTCTCCCCCCTCTGCCTCCCTCTTCTCTTCTGCCTCTCCCATCCCCAGAGGATGGTCATGGTCGCCCTTCTCCTCGCCCTCTTTTTCCATTCACTTTCCCTCAATAAAAAAATTCCTTCCACCCAAGCTCTGTCTTATGGCTTCTTTTTTTTTTTTTTTTTTTTTTTGGTATTTACGAGACAGGGTTTCTCTGTATTGTTTTGGAGGCTGTCGGTCCAGCCTGGCCTCGAACTCATAGAGATCCACCTGCCTCTGCCTTCCGAGTGCTGGGATTAAAGGTGTGCGCCACCACCGCCCGGCTGGCTTCTTTCTCTTGAGCACCACTTTTTAAAATTTCAATGGTGTTTATCTTCTGACATGTATAAATAGTCAATTTTCAACTTTCCCTTTCCAATGTCTTAAAATTAGAAATAGATCACTAGTGAAAGACGGAATACTAACTAGGGAAACTGAAGGTGTGAATGAGAGGTGGGGCTGAAGACGGTGACTCCCACTGGACAGAATCTGGGGTTTCCCTACGGTCAAAACCCAAACTGATGAGATAGAAAACGACAGGACCACCATCTGTTCGATGAGGGCTCTTCCCTTACTACTGATGAGGTTTTTTTTAATTGTCTTGTGAGTTCTAATTAGATAAGAAATATGACATTATCAGGTCAAAACAAGACCACATATAATACAAATATACAACTTTATTGTATATTTTAACCAATATTTTAAATATATGGAACATTTAATTTTTGTTAGTGATTCAGGAAGCACTTTTATTTACAAAGACATTCAATGTGACATTTAATAGATAAAATTGGTTCTAAGACAAATATTTAATAAAAACAATACAATTATGATCCATTAATGAGTTATTAGAAGCCATATATTAGAAAGTATTTAATGACAAAAAGATAAGATAATGATAAGAGTTACACATAAAGGAAATATATTTTATTAATACAGTTCAACTGTAGCTACATCTTTTGATATAATCATTTTATCAATTCTTTGATATTTCATACAATATATTTTGATCATATTTACCATCCACTTCTACTCCTCCAGATTCACCTCTCTCTCTCTTCACCCCCTTCCTCTACTTTGTGTCTTTTTTTCATTTTTATTTTTCTCTTAC